TGTGTAAGCTTGAAAGCTTGTCTCTCTCACCAACAGAAGTTGGTCCAGTAAAAGATATTACCTCACCCACCTCTAAGATGAGTCATGACCTAAAATGGAACAAAGAAGGCATTGAAAGGCAACATTGCAGAACTACAAGGTCTTATTATTAATCATTAATAATAATTTCTTCAATGCCACGAGATAAAGAGAAAAGTTCCTGGCAATAAAAGCTACCAAACTACAAGTAACTGAAATCTCAGCATAACTAAGGGTATGTCTATACTGCAATTAAAAATCTGAAGCTAACTTGAGGTCACAGGCAGTGCTTAATTTGTAATGAAAAAGGTGCCGAGGCTCAAGCAATCAGGTGTCAGGGCACAAGCAATTTTTTTACATTACAGTTTTTTATAGCCCCAGAGATGCTTGGGCTTAGCCCTGGCAAGTCCTGGCACAAATTAAGCATTGGTCACGGGGCTTGGGCTGAGGAACTGTTTAACTGCGGTATAGACATTCGGGCTTGAGCTGCAGCCCAAACTTGGGGACTCTCCCACCTCACAGGGTCTTACAGCCCGGGCTCCAGCCCAAGCCCAAACATCTACACCACAATTAAACAGCCCCTTAGCCCAAGCTCCTTAGCTTGAGTCAGCTGGCATGGGCCAGCCACAGGCTTTTAATTGCAGACATACCCTAATGGTGGCAGAATCAGACCCTAGGGTTAAGAAGGCATTACTGTGTCTAGTGAACTACTTAGGTTAATAGGGAAGGAATAACAGAAAAATATTGAAATAGTGACAATGGTTACGAACGTCATAAATACACAGAAGACTTTTTGAGTGTTAGGGAGGTCAAGGGTGGCTGAACGGAATAAAGAAACTGAGCAGGCAAGTGCAAAGCAGATGGGGGAAGAGATGGGAGTAGCTGAGCAGACGGATGTGGGAAAGATGTAAAAAGAAGAGAGATTAGTGGTGGGGGTGGGCGGGTGAGTATCCAAAAATATAAGAGAAAACAAAAGGAAAGGATTAGGTATCATTTTGGAAGAACGTGATGATGCTGAAATTGTACCTTTGCAAATATATATATGGCAGATTTTTTTTCTTGAAACGATTAAAGAACAAAGTATGTCATCCCTATCTCCCAGACACTCAAATGCTTCCCCCCCCACAAGGTCTAGGAAAAGATCAAGAAAACAGCACGTATTTCTGCTGTGTGATTCAAGTTTGTTTTCCTTCACTTGGCTGACGGATATTTTTCCACTAGACTTTGCAAAGACCTGGCTTGGGTGTTCCACTGTTTGTTTACAAATACAAAAATATCTCTGACATCTGTCTGCATTCTCTCAGTAACTACATCATATTTCCTGCAATTTCCCACAATCACATGCTGACCCTTGCCATAAACTTAGTATAGTTGCATTTGCTGAAACACCCTTAGCTTTACTTTTCTTTTTAAACATCACAGCTAATGCAAACTGGCGGCTTAACTAACTCAGAGCAGCTAGAATGGATCCCCTAGGGACTGGGTCCACTGTCTGGGGATTGGTGGAATACATTACACAGTGGCTCCACTCTATCTGTCTCCTAACAACTCCCCAAGCCTCTCTCCTGCAACATGGGAAGAGCTGAATCCGTGGTGACCTAATAGGGCAGCTTTCAAGTTAATTTTTGCTACTTCAGTAGCACAAAGTGAATTTGGAGGGGAGAGGCTCTGTCCTTGTAATTTTTTTTTTAATTAATTGTGGATTTTTTGTAAAGAAATTACAATATTGTCCAGGGTGTTCGCTGGACTCCACTGATATGCACATTCAACCTTAACTCTCCTTTAATGAAGATTTTTGTTTATGAGTATGTGGAAAAAGATCAGCGTGTATGCCCAGTCGTCTCCCAGCTCTCCACATCCCCGCTGCAGACCCTATTTTCCAAATACAAATGCTTCTTGATTTTTATTTTAGCTCATTAGGCAATTCTTTAGGATAAAGGGGAACATAAAGAAACTATAATGGATAAAATACTGGATCACCATGGAAGAAAGCACTTGAGTAACAAGATGATTCATTAAAATGAGCCAATGTTTATATTTCACTATTTGATAATTAAACAAAGATTTATTGTAGAGTTCTTAGAAAAAGTTTAGACCGAAAGACTCAGCCATCTGGTAACTGGGTATACTTTTACAGAAGGGACTGCAAAAATATAAGCAACAAGGAGTCTGGTGGCACCTTAAAGACTAACAGATTTATTTGGGCATAAGCTTTCGTGGGTAAAAACCTCACTTCTTCAGATGCATCTGAAGTGAGGTTTTTACCCACGAAAGCTTATGCCCAAACAAATCTGTTAGTCTTTAAGGTGCCACCAGACTCCTTGTTGTTTTTGTAGATACAGACTAACACGGCTACCCCCTGATACTTGACAAAAATATAAGATAGCTGAAATATTTATATATATTTTTTGATTTTGTGTAGGGAGAAAATACAAAAAACAGGCAGTTCCATGTGTATTAGCCAACATAAAATAAACCTCATGCTGTAGAATTGTGGAGATGGTCTTAAAAAGAATGTTTTCCTGCCTCCATAATTGCAAGAAAATTGTATTTTATGTAGTGAAAATCATGAGAGTAAATGTATTTACAGGAATGCAAGTCTGACCGGAATTACAAATGAAGTGACTTAATCAGAAATACACAGTGATCTATTCATAGCTGTTTCGAGATGCCAAGAACTTTGCAGATGCCATTGGGTCACATTGTATAAAGAGGCGGATTATAATGGGGACAGTGTGTGTGAGAATCAAACAAAACTCCTCAGAGATGTATTTTCTGACAAATAAGCAACATTATTCTCCCCTGGCATGATTTCATAATTGTTAGCACTCTCTTGTTTTTTTATACAGACTTGGGCTAGTTGTCTGATCACAGGATGGGGCACGAAGGAATCCTTGGGGTAAGATTCTGTGCTGCACCTCTGAGATGCACAATACAGATCTTGCCTTTTAGGGGGAGAGGGATAAGGTGGCGTTAAGCCACTGTTACCACCCTCCTGATCCTGGGCTTCTCAAAGGCCTGTAGAAGCCCACAGTGTAATTTAGCCCTGGTGCCCTATATAAATGATGGGAGCCCTAAGGGTAGCAATGCTGTCTGGATTTTCCACAGCCTTACAACTGTTCCAGGGGAATCATCTTCCTGCTGGAAGTGAGGCTTTTAGAGCCCCTCTGGGCCTTTTAGCTAGAGGAAAGAGGCTGGAGCAGGAGTGAGGATCTCATCCATAGTTTTGAATCCCAGTTCAGGTACTGACTACTACTGTGGGTTAGGTACTGTATGTAACCTTTTGCCTGTATTTTATCTATGAATGTGTACAATAATACTGTAACCTGTTTCTGCTACTGGTTCTGTTCCACCAGTGGGATTCAGAGATGGAAGTGCTAGTGTAGAATAGCCACCCGTGTTTTAAGTGCCTTGTCACCTTACCATTCTCAGCTCTATGTGGCACAGTGCTTAAAACACCAGCAGATCTTAGTACCTTGTCTACACTAATGCTCCCATTGTTGTTACTATTGTTGGAGCTGAACTGCTGGTCACCACAGTAGGAAAGGTTAGGAAAAGCTTTGTGGTGTAAACAATGGTTGAGTGAGTCAGTGACAGAGCCAGGAGTAATACCTGAGAGTCAGTAGGTTGAATATGGAGTGACTCCACTGATGTTCATGAGAGCAGAATTGGCTTACTGTCTTCAAGTCCCTGATTTGTTCATGAGACTACAGCACCTGTTCTTTTACTGTATATAAATAACCTGAAAACCAAGTCACTACTGCTACATAAAGCATCTTGAATGTATATTCTCATCAAGAGGTATGTTAAAACAGACTGGTGTGGGAGAGAAGAAAAACTCTCTAATGGACAATGCTGGAAACATCCTATCAAAACATGTAGTTTAGACTCAACTTGTGGATTTAATAAGGTTAGATGTGATCCATTACATTTGATTTTAGCTGACTAAAGACCAAGGTTGAGATTCTGGGCTGCACCTGCCCAGAGGAGGGGGTGGAGTAAGCTTTAAGCCATCCTTGTGACCTGATACCGGGCTGTTTTGGCGGCTGGAAAGGCTCATGACATATCCTAGATTGCTCTGGGTACCTTTCTGAATTCTGGCAGCCGCTCCAGGCTGCTCTACCTCCCACAGTGTGTGCTGCAGCACCCCAGCTCCACCCCAGTCCTGTACAGAGGCTTACAAGGATACAGGGCTTTACGTTGCTCCAGGCAAGCCTTTTTACATGGAAAAGGGGGCCAGAGTGGGGGTGGGGGGGGGGGGGGTGATATCCTGGCACTATTGAAGTCAGTGACAAAATTCCCATTGACTTCAACAAAGCCAGGTTTTCAGCCAATATATTGTATTTTGTCCAGTATGAATGGAGTTGGTAAAATGATTGGGTGGTACTCTTATTTCTAGCTCACAAAAGCTAATGAAAACTGTGCACTAGACTGCAAGCAACAACATTGTTGCACCCAGGGATATGACTAAGGATTAGGCGGTGATATAGAGCACAGAAGTGGTACGTAGAAATTGTAGTGATTAATTGGTACTAGTGACCTATCTTAGTCTCATTCATGGTTTGCAGAAGCAACAGCTTTTTCATATAGTTGCAGCCACTTGGAAAGTATTATTCAATAATGGAAAGCTAGAAATACACCATGGAGCTGTGGGAAAACCCAGGTCTGAACACCCCCAAACTTTCTGTTTGAAGTCTAGAGCTAGATTTTGTAATTTGAGTCCATGTCTAATAAAATAGAAATTGCCAATTTGCAGTTATAATTTATGGAGAACAGAAACAGGCAGTTGATTGAATTTAATCCTGAAATGAGCATGACACAAGGAAAGGTTGCAGTTTATTTTCATACTATGACAAATGTGGTTAGTTGGCTAAGCAGCCTGTACCCTTAAAGTACACGATTCGCCTCTGCTGATAATATCAAGTGCTGAAATCAGTTCTTCAGGCGAAAGAAAACTCTAGAGCTTATTTTCTTTTAGCAAATCAAGATGATGGAAAAAGAAGAGCATATGTCACATAGACTGGAATTGATGGTATTCGTGCTTTCAAGACCTACACCCAAAACCAAACCAAAATTAACATTGGAGTATTTATCTAACACCATAATTAGTTAACTACAAAATGACTCATGTTTAGTGCTTGTTTCAGCAGAAAAATTGCAAAACTACTTCTTTGAATTTCTACTGAGGAGGCAGTTTCCCTTTAAATGAGTAAGGGGTAAATCTGGTCACTGTGCTTTCTTGGGAGGGGCAAAGAATGTATTATCTGTACCTGGAATCTGGGTTTTGAAGGCAGAGTGAACAGATACTTTTGTTTTCTGAATAAAAAGCAAAAAGTCATGACATAGAAGCCTGAAGATGAACCTTAAATGTTTTTTAAATGACTTTTTGCTAAAGGGAGCTCTAGAATCTAAACATGGAACAACCTATTCCCATGTTTTCACAGGAACATGGTATTCTGCACGTGGAGTATAATCTGTACTAATACCAGGGCCGGCTCCAGGCACCAGCCGAGCAAGCTCGTGCTTGGGGTGGCAGATTCCAAGGGGCGGCATTCCGGCCGCCCATTTTTTTTTCTTTTTTTTTTTGGTTTGCAGCTCTGGCCGCCCTGTAGGGGGCGGCAGCGTGGAGGAGGGGAGCACCCTGCAGCAAACTCGGCAGGGCAGCCTGCGTCCTTCCCTCCCAGCTGACCGGAGCGGCACAGAGCCCCCCTGGCAGGCAGCGCGGTGGGAGGGGCCGCGTGGCGAGCGCCCCGCTGAAGCCCTGGCTGCCCCCCTTCTCTCTCTCCCCCCCGCTCCCTCCCCCCCGCTAGACCAGGCGCGCACTCCACTGCACGTCTGCAGCACATGGAGTCCCCCTGCACCCTGGCTCCGGCCGCCCTGCAGGTTTTCTTTTTTTTTTTCTGCTTTGCCGCTCCGGCCGCCCAGTGGGTTTTTTGAGTGTGTGTGTGTGTGTGTGTGTGTGTGTGTGTGTGCTTTGCCGCTCCGGGCGCCCCGCAGGTGTTTTTGTGTGTGTGTGTGTGTGTGTGTGTGCACGCTTTGCCGCTCCGGCCGCCCCGCAGGTTTTTTTTGCTTGGGGCGGCAAAAAAGCCAGAGCCGGCCCTGACTAATACCACTATAAATGTATTTGTCTACTTTGTCTAGTGATTAGTTCACAGGACTAGGAGTCTGAACATGAGGGTTTCATTCGCCTCTGTCGCTAACCACATCTGTGACCTCAAGCAAGTCACTTAAACTGGCTATGCCTCAATCTGTAAAATGAGGTATTAACCTACCTCACAGGGGGGCTGTGGATTAATTAATGTCTATAAAGCATGTTATATAAACACAAAGTACACCTCTACCCCAATATAATGCTGTCCTCGGGAGCCAAAAAATCTTACTGCGTTATAGGTGAAACTGCGTTATATCGAACTTGCTTTGATCCGCCGGAGCGTGCAGCCCCGCCCCCCCCTGGAGCTCTGCTTTACCGCGTTATAGCTGAATTCGTGTTATATCAGGGTAGAGGTGTATTAGCATAAATTCTGATTTCAGTTACATCCACAACCTGGTTGCTCATGTGTAACACAACATAATTTGGCCAATTTCCTTTTGTGAATGGCTTTGGTTTAACCTGCATTTGAAGTAAGATTAAGGAAAGAAATACACTCACCATTTTAAACATTTGATTCGCATAGACTGTTACTACTGCTTGAGTGATTTATTTTGCTGGGTTAACCAGTTAAAAATTTCCATTAGGCCTCACCTCTGCCTGATGCATTTCACTTCTGAGAGGGGCGGAGCTCCCTCCAATTCCACTCATTTCAGTGGGAGTTGAGGGAAGTCAACACTTCCCAGAATCAGACCCTGGATAAAACCATTTTTTATGGGGCGACTTGAGTTAAGGACTGGATTGCTAGAAATACTGGCATTGACGACCAGAACATTTAAACTTTAAGAAGATTATGCTGATACCATATTAACCAACTGTAGTTTTGCAAATACTATGCAACCATTAGGAAGCCCCAAGTTAATTAATTGTGTTACCTAGATTGCCAAGGATAAATGGAAAAGGATGAAGAAATAAATATGCCAAAAGGGAACGCAAGTCAGCAGTCTATATGAGGCAGCTGTTTAAACAAACTGCTAGACACTGGTGGTGACGTCTAAGAGGTACTTGCAGACAGAACCTTGCGTGTTCCTATCAATGGCAAAGTGTTCCACTTTGGGCACAAATGCCATTATGTTTGTCATTGATATTTAATAATGTAAAATCAGAATGGGAGGTTTTCCATTGACTGCAATGGACTTTGGATCAGGTCCAGTGTTTCTAAAGCAGTTGTCAGCATTTCATATTTTGGAATTCACACACATTTCTACTGGGTTTTTCAGTCTTGTGTATCACTCTGAAATAGTATCATGTCAATGTCTGAGCTTTTTGATTGTGAGGAATGTTTGTTTTACATGGATGCTATATCAACTTTTAGAAATAGCAAGGCTACGCAGGGCAGAGTTTATATTTTTAAAAAATACTTACTTGGCTTTTGCAGGATGGTTTGGTAACGCCAAACTTTTGGGTAAGTTGATCAGTACTGAATTCCCTCCATTTCCCATCCATCATGCACTGTGCTTTTATTTCATATTTAACTTCTCGCTCCTGCCTAAGGCTGACAGGGCTACGTTCAGCAGTAAAAAAAGATAAAGCTGGGTCTGTTTGTTTGACTCTCTGAAAAGACATTACATCCAAGTCAGTTAAAAATCTGAAATATGCAATATAATGGTAATGACATTTGTTTATTAGAGAACCAACTCAAATATACATCCATTCCACTTTTGGGTATTTGAGATTTAAATCTTCAGGATCACAGCAAGTACTCATCTAAGCAGGATCTGACCAGGTCATTACTTGGGAGACCTCCAAGAAGATCTGTTTCTAGAGGCTGAATGGAATTATATTGGTGAGTCAATAGATGACATTCTTCTTCCTGATTCTGTATTGAACAAATGGCCCTCAGGAGATGCTGTCTTCTTGATGAGATGTAAAATCAAGCTCTGGTTATTAATGTTTCTATGACACTTTCAATTGGAGTGGAGAATATCTCATGAGCCAAATTCTTGGTAATTACCCTTGCCTGCCTAAAACTGGTTTAGTAATTTCAAATGGACAAGGCATTCTTCAGTTCTTGACCTGAGGGCCTGTACTCTGTCAGATTCTTATGCACTATTAAACAACTGACATGTTTCAGTGATGACTGAAATGATTTCTCTGTATATAGGACCTGGTACTACAGTCTTTCCTGTGTCTAAACTTCTTTTGAAAACACTAGGAATTTGTCTTGAGTAAGGACTCCTGGTTTGGACCTATAGTTTCTAAAGCGCTTTGTAATCCTTCTGGATGAAAGGCACTCTGGTCCAAACTAAGAGTTGTGTAAATGAATGAGACTTCACTGATGTCAGTGGTGTTTCAGTTACTTATGCCAGGTTTGAGTTTGGTCCTACGAAAAGTCATTAAATTTGCATGCAAAAAAGAAAATAAACAATAGGCTCGATTCTGTACTATAATTTGGCCCCCTTTGTCTTGGTTTAGTGGCAAAAAGGGATGGGAAAATTGCTGGATCTCCCCAGCTCAAGGAAGTCCCCACCTAGTATAGCACAAGTGTAGCTGTTTCCTATGTCGCCTGTTCTAGCAGCTCCCAGTATCTGGCTAGGGGAGGAATGGGAGGGGGCATGACCAGAGTGTTACTACATTCACTTCTCCGTGTACCTTTTTCATTTCTAATCACGGGCCTGACCCTGCAAGCATAGAACTCCTGTTTACTTTGGTGGGAATTTTATAGGATCATGCCCTATATCACCTGGAAGCAATGGGAGTTTCTCATGCAGAAGACTTGCAGGATTAGGTCCTCTGTACTGCACCCACAATATTTACAAACATCAAACTTAGCAATATGTTCTAGGACTTATTTGAACAGGAAATTGTTACTGACCACGTTAATTTTGCTAAACAAACTAAACCACCACATTGATGATTCAAATCTATAATAAGCCACAAAACATAAAGGGAACCGAGCACTTTAAAACGGCTAGGAGAGAAGTTCTCACTTTGGCATTTAACTGACATTTAATTAAAACCAGACTCTTACAGGGAAGGAAGAATTAAAATGGTAACAGGTACACTATGAAACACTTTTCAGTCAGCATCTCATTATGCAATTTGCTACCAGTATTAGCGTTTTCCAAAAGACTATGCTGAGCATTACCTGCCCTTTAGGAGAAAAAGGATTAGAATAAAGTACCAGATTATATCCATTCTACTATGCCCTGTTGAAGATACCATACAAAGAACATGTGAGATGACATGTTTTATTAGGCAGGAGACACTGCTGATAATTTCATGTAGATTGTCAGCTACTAGTGTTCTCAAAACTGGGCTAGGAAAATCACTTGAGAATAAACTGTTTATGGATTTTCCAGTATTTCCTGATTATTGATTGACACCTTAAAAGAGTGAATATTTTTGTTTGTGGTATTTTAGTATTCCCACTTCTGGTTCTAGTTAAAATCATCATGTGCAGAGACACGTGAATACTGGTAATCATTTTGCAGTCAGAAGGAAGAAAACTCATTAAGATGCTTGTACTATCCCACACCCTCACACTACATTTGTTTGCCTTTATTCTCAACCTTATTACCTTAAAGCAAGGTCAGAATTTACATAATGCAACAGAATAAACACATAATAAACAATAAACATAATAATCAGATAAATAATAAACAGAATTCACATAAGCCATGTGGTGCTTTTATCTTACTTGAATGTAAAAGCTGTATGCTGAAGCTTCATATCTGATTGCTTTTATCTCAAAGAAGAATCCATAAATGGAAATTATTTCTTCATGATATCTTGGCTCCTAAAGGACAATTAAAAAGGAAAAACTCTATCCAAAGTAATCTCAAAAATATGTGGGCAGAAATCACAAATCTATTATTAGGAAAAATCTGTCTCGTTTTGCTTGTCATGTAAAAGAAAAAATACAGTCACTGTGAAATTATATTTAAACTAATGGAACGCTATAAGGAGCGCAATGAAAATCAAATACGGACATGAAAAATTATAATGGTCTAGGTCCACAAGTGTTGTAAGGGGGAGTTTAAGGCAGGGGAAACTTTTAGGTTCAGGGGAATGTCTCTTGGAAGTTTGGGGTCTGTGTCTTATTGTTCTTTGCTTCTATGTGCTCATCAAATTCAAAGGTGTCTCCAATATGTATGGAGATGGGATACATATTGGGATGGAGGAGCATTCGGAGTTTAGCCTGGAAGGGTAGAGCAGGAAGGAAGGCCTTCAGTTGTGCCTGATTACATATAATGAGTTGTCTATTCATCCAGACTGGAATTCACCACAGTGCAGAGGGCCAGCACAAGGCCAATGCATTACTTAAGCCTTACCTAAGCCCTCAGAATTGTAAGTGAGACATTTAACCCCACAAAACAGATGCAGCACAGGCAGTGCCAGTGCAAGCTTCTTCCCGCATGTGTCTCAGTCTGAGAGTGATGTTCAGGTCCATTCAGTCACTGGCTACTTCAGAGACAATTATGACACTAGCCTATTTGGAATTGGACTGCAACTGCTATAAATTAGATAGATAACTGTCAATTTACATAGGGTTTGATCCAATGCCTATTGAAGTCAACTCATTCCCAGCTCACCCTCTGCCCTTTTCAAGGTCCATGAATACAATGAAAAATAGGATTTGGAATTAATATACATATTCTAGCATTTCTACTTTGTCTCATTTATTTAAAATATTTTTCTTTATCCTAACAAAGAAACTAACTAGACTAACAAATGTAGCTCATCTTACTTGATTTGTTTTCCCATTTAAAATAGATTACAGATCTGAAAACAGCTGCCATTTTTACAATAAAAAGTATGTGAGTAAAAATACTGGTATCCACTGAGAAGCACACCAAAGCCTAAAGGCTCCCAACATACAGTTTTGATTTCTTTGTTACATACCTGTTTAAGCAGCAGACCAAACCTCACAGCTTGCATGGAAAAATCTTTCTGCAATGTCATGTCACCACCATTCTCCAGCTGAAGGGAAAGGAAAATATGCCACATTTGATGAAGTCCATTGATTCAATATATTATATAAAAGAAGCACAAAGCTAGGCACAAAGAACTTATGACTGTTTCTGCTGCTTTCTCAGTGAGGCAATCTTCATAGGAATGAGTATTCTATATATACATTGACAATGTATGGTAGATTGTACAGTTGTACCACTTCCTAGTGGTTTGGAACAACTAAGCAATTAGTGACACTGGACCCAATTCTCCACTGTTTTGCATCTTATGTAGTCATTTACACCTGTGCCAAGTGGCTGTAAAGTGAGTGTAAATTGTTACCAAATCAGAATAATAGCATTTTACACCTACTACACAGGTATAAAAAACTACACCAGGTGCAAGACAATGGAGAATCAGGACCATAATATAAAAAAGATCTTTGTAATGAAGCCGAGTATATTTATGGTGTGGAAAGTTATGGTAAAATGTTCTGATTCAAGTTTCTATTTCAGTATTTTCTGTTAGAAGTAGCATTAACTCCCCTACACATTTTTCCCTTCTCAGAAAGTATGCGTTTGAGATATGCAGCTGCTGACCTGGGCAGCCAATTGCAACAAAACTCCTAGGGGAGCAGGAATCAGTGCAGACTAGGGGCACATCTTCAGTAATGGTCCAAGTTCTATGCAGCTGTGCTCTGTCTTCCTCTTCTCATTTTCCAAGGCCATTGACTTCAATGGGAGATGTACCTGCTTATACCATGTATGAATTTGTCCCCATCTGCTTATATGGAAAAAAACCCACCAATAGCAAAACAATAGAAGTGTCTAAGAAGTTGTTAATAGAAACAGACTCTCTCAGAAAGCATAACTGGGTGTTTGTGTATGACAGCATAAAAAACATCATATTATCCACTAGCATATCTTAAGCTCAGAAGCAAAGATTGCCAAAGCAAAGCAATTTAACATAGGAAAAATTAGACTACAGGTTTTTTTAAGCCAGGGATCATCTGTTATTCTGTTTGTACATTACCTGGCTGACACAATGAGGCCCATATCCTGACTGGGGCCTTGAGGCACTCCCTCAGAACAAAATATAAGATAACGTCTGAGCTCCAATGAATATATATAAACACTTTCAGTTTTTGAACAATGTAGAAGCCACTCACTGCATGGTAATGGTTGGACAGAATCTGTGTCAGCCATGGCAGCGGGAGGAAGTTAATCTGTCGTAAATCCTCCAGATGCTTACCTTCGGGATTTGGGGGGAAAGTTCGATAAATAAAATTGTATTATTAAAAGGAATTAAAGCAGACATATTACAGAGAACAGTTATGGCAATGTGGGAGGATCCAAACATAGAAGTCCACTAAAAATTCATCACCCAGCCTCACTTCAGACTCCCCACGTAATTCACGGAAGGGTTGTTGTGCAAATCATCCACAAAAGGAGCTAGGGAGTGGCATTCTGGGGATGGTCTCAGTGGTCAGGGTCAGGGTGCACATGTTCGTGTGCAGACTGCCACTTGCATATTAATAACTCCTGCTTGCATCCAATTGTGCATTTTTTTTTCATAGCCCTATCCTGTGGTAGGATTAGTTCACCCGGGGTGTATAAAGCTATGAAATTGGCACATATTAACATGGTCAGCTCCAGGGATTTGGGTGCACCTCTAGATAAAATTCAATAAAATGGTACGGAAACAAAAAGGTTAGACTAGATTTGTATAAAATATATACCCCACAGGTAAGTATTGACATTGATTTGGAAGGTTGCTGGGCTCTGAAGATCCCCTATTCACTAGTCCTTCGCTCGTAGGGTGTACATTTCAAGGGCCAATATTTTTCATATATTTCAGAGAAATCTAATTTTAAACATTGAAATATTGATTCCTACAAGTGAACCAAAGTTTTCACTTTTAACTTTCACTACGCGTTCTGCGTGTGTGCAAAAGCAGTGTGCCTATGTAAGCTAGATAGACAGTTGCATAATTAGTTGATATGGGCATGCTCACCTGTGTGCATAAATTGGGCTTTTGCACACACTGAATTTTTGTGAGTGTAATTTCAAATGCTAGTTTGAAAGTGTGAGCCAATGCTTCTTAGGTCACAAACACACTATAAACTTACTTGAAGTTATTCCATGTAAACGAAGGGATTGAAAAACAGTTCTATATCTCTGTCCTGCTTCCCTTTCCAGAAATGAACATCTCTTGGATAAACTAAAAACAAAACGAAGTAGCAGAAAACTTAACTTAACCCAAAATGATTTCATATCCACATTCTAAATTTCGCTATTTAGGTTTGGTTTTGTGTATGTATCTCTCAACATACTGTACTAGCTTTCAGCTGGACTGTATTTGACCCATTCACAAGGCTTCTTTTATAGCACAGGAATTAAAAAGTACTGATTTAATTTCATATCCTCTCACTGTTTTTTTAAAGTAAAATTGACTTCTTGGAAGTTGTGCTCATGTACTGATGGTAGGATTTGGATACACATGGTCACCAAATTCCACACATTTAAAGTAAAAAATCCAACAACTCACATAGTGAGTCTGCTTTTAAAAATGTGCTTCAAATAACTATTGCCTCTCAAAAGGAGATGAAAACATTATCATGCAAGTTTCTCAGAACTCATTTGGAAACAGGCTGTCGCTTACTAAAGGCAGATCAAGGCAGGACCAGCCCGAGACGCTCAGATTATTTTTCCATGAGTCAAGAGTTGCACTCAAAACAAAAATTTCCCTGCCTATACCAAGCCCATGTTGTTGCACTAAGCTCTTACCAGCAACACTGTTGTCAGCCTCCTTGCTATAGAAAAAAATGACAAATGGTTTGGACAGTTTTTAAAATTTGATTCAGTCTCTCTCTCTTTTTTATTTATCCCTCATTTCTGAAGCCAGGTGCTCTTAATATCATGAGTTCAGCTGTACAGAGATTGGAAGGTGAGGAAAATGATAACTAATATATGTAAAACTTCTCTAAAAATGACCTAAAATAGCTTGACTGAGCATGTGACCATCACAGATGTGATGAACTGGGAAAGTGGTTGCATTACTTTCTAGGAGTATGTGTGACTTAGTTTCCCTGTTCAGTTATGTATTGTTGCCTGCCCAAATGCAGAGAGTTTAATCAAAGGAGGCCATACATGGGCTGTTGAGGGACCAAGCAGGAGAGGTAAAACAACAACACAGATAAGTCAGCATCATGTACACAACTTCAAAGGAGATAACAATGGCTGGGCCATCAGCTGTGGGGGAGAAGTTACCTAGCCGGCTCTGTCCAGGCTAGGATGTTTTACTCTTCCCAAGGCTTAGCCTGGAATCAAAGGAGACTCAAAAGATCCCAAAACCCTGACTGGCAGAAAAGGAGGGGGGAAATGGTCAGAGATGCTGACTAGGACGCGTCTGTGAAAAAGCTGACAGGCTGGGAGGACTCACTGAGGGTATGTCTACACTGCACATGAAGCCCAGGCTGTGCTCAGGTTTGAGCCCAAGCCCCGCTTCTGTCTAGGCACAAATCAGTCTGACAGGTCAGCAAGCACTCATGACCTGGGTTCTAGGACCCTGCTTGGGGGGCGTCGCAACCCAACTCCTGTTGTGACCTAAGTGCAAACCCTGTCATTTTGCAATGTGGACGCAGCTCAAGCCACAGCCCCAAGTTAAAAAGTCTGCACAGTGCAACATAGACTTATTAGCATGGCTGTGGGAAGCAATTGTAAACCTAAGTTTACAATGCAGTGTGGGCACTCACTTGCAAGCTTGGAAACATTGAGTCCACATGCCTGGGTCCCACAGACCTAGCTTTACAATGTAGACATACCCTGGAGAGACAGAAGGAGAAGCCTGCAAGCAGTGTAGGCTGTTTCTTGCAACTCAGAGATGGGGAAAAAGACAGACCGGCCTGAGCTACAAATGGAGGTTAAATTTAGATAAGGGAATACCATGGTAGGTTTTTGTTGTTTTAAATCTACTTCTCCAAGCTCTGTGTACCTTTTAGGCCATAAAAAATCACACTTTGTTCTGATGAAGCTGTTTCTGACTCACTGCAAACACATACTGTCACAAGCTCCCAGAGAGAAACCATCGTAGGGTCCAACCCCAGTTGGGCCTGCTGAATTAGTCACAGTTAGCACTGGGGGGCAAGAAGGGTTATAACCTGGAGACACAGACAGAGAGTGGTTGGATTGTAGGATCTTGCCCCAAAGAGAAGTGGCGTCATGGGCCTGCCACTTGAAAGGGGCACACTTGGGGGATGGGAAGAGGGTCTCAGTGGAGCAGCCTACCCAGAGACTGTGACACTATAATTTTTCTTGTTTATGAGCAGCAACATTTGGGAAAACAGCCCAATCCCCATGTAGGGTGACCAGATGTCCCGATTTTATAGGGACAATCCTGATTTTTGGGTCTTTTTCTTATATAGGCACCTATTACCCCCCACCCCCTGTCCCGATTTTTCACACTTGCTGTCTGGTCACCCTATCCCCATGATGGCTTTTTTTTTTTTTTTTTTTTTGATTGCCCGTAAGATTGCTCTAGGGCACATTCATTACAATATTGAAAGTCACAATTTTCTAAGTGACTTAAAAACTCTGTTTGCAAATGAAACTTCTTGGGGCCAATGCTGGCCCCTGCTGCAGCCCCTATTAACCACTCTGAGGGCACAGAAGGACCATTAATCAGTCTCAAGGGGCTGAGGGAGGATTCCCTCAGCACAGGAGCAGCACAGACCCAACGTAAATGGCCCTGCACTGTCCTCTTCACAACCCCCAGTGTTGTGCCGAGAGCCACAGGAGAGATAGATATATATAATGTCTAACAACTTGTGTTATGTAATGATTAATAGGAATTAGGCACTTCAAGATAAATTCCTTGCCAAGCTGGAAGAATACAATCCTATGCAGACTGTATCCTAAACAAAGCTGCCAAGTGTTCACTAATTTACTCACATCACTTAGATGGTATTTGATAAGACAAAATGCCTTTTCCCCTATGTTTCCTTTTATGAGTTGTTGCAGTTGCAAACAGTGTCCTTCAGACCTGCAGTTGCATTCTTTGCAATGCTGAAGGTTAGACTGCCGAAGCAAATCAACATCTGGCAAGGGGGAAAGGCTCTTTCTTATGTAATTCACATTTCCATAGATTGCTCTCCATTGACATATTTGACAGCAGTCTACCCTTCAGCATTGCAAAGAATGCAACTGCAGGGGAAGGATTCTCCTTTCTGCTATAACTCCTTAAACTGTGTGGCAGCATAAGGGGTCTAGAAAAGCCCTGGATTCCATTTGGGAAGAATAACTGTAGGTTTATTTACTAGGGGCTGGTCTACACCCAGCCGCTAATTCGGCGGCTGGGGATCGAAGTTCCGGGTTCGACTTATCGCGTCTGGTCTGGACGCGATAAGTCGAACCAGGAAGTGCTCGCCGTCGACTGCGGTACTCCAGCTCAGCGAGAGGAGTACCGCGGAGTCGACGGGGAGCCTGCCTGCCGCGTGTGGACCGCGTCTGAACCGCGGTAAGTTCGAACTAAGGTATGTCGAATTCAGCTACGTTATTAACGTAGCTGAATTTGCATACCTTAGTTCGAATTGGGGGGTTAGTGTAGACCAGGCCTAGGCCTCCTCCACACACCGCAGGGCCAAGAGGAGGTGTGGCCAGGGGTACTGGAACAATTTTTATAGTGGGGGTGCTGAGAGCCATTGAACCAAACTCTAAATCCAGTATATAATGGAAACCACTTCTAGCCAGGTGTCCTGCAGCCTTAGTTCCAGCACCTATGGGCACCCTATGCCTAACCTACTGTGGAGACAAAAGGGGTCAAGCTTAGGGAAAATGAGCAGAAGAATCTGCCAATTAAAGCAAACTCCCTTCCCGCGCCTGGAATGGAACCCAAGATTCCTGAGTCTCACCATTGCTTTGCTGTCAGCAAATATCTATGAAACTCACTGGCAAAGTGTCCTATTCTGCTCTAGTTGTAGTTCATATGCAGGATGACAACCTACTACTGGTATCAGTTACTCCATTAGCTCAAGTAGCAGAGGTCAGTGTGGTAGATCTAAAGATTCCAACCATGCTGATGAACCATGTGGGGGTCAATATGATGCCACATGATGGAATTTCTGGGGGGATTATCAGGTTGCTTAAAAAAATTATGAAATTACACACAAAAACCTATGTTAAAAGATTGTTAGCGTTGCAAAGTGAAGCACTCAAAAGTTAGGAAATGCCAGGATTAAGGTTGCCTGTGCAACCTTAATCTGGCCCCTTGTGAATATGCATTCAGATACAGTCATTAATCATATGATCATATACTTTTTTTTTCTACAGGACTCCTGACTCATTCAGTGCATAGGATGAACCTGCTTTGGAATGAATAATGGTTGTGTAATAAAGGAGACTGTAGGACCCCTTCATCATTGGTTGGAGAAGTTGGATATTGTGTTGTGAATCAGGCAGGGGACTGCAGGAAGAAAAGGGATAATCTCATGCTTAAAGAAGTTGAATGTTGTCCTGGAGAAATGGATGTATCCTACCTCTGTCTAGGCAAGTCGGTTACACCAAACTTTTCACTTTTTTGAGTACCTTACTTGATATTCTAGGATTTGATTTGCAGAAGTCCTGACCACTCACAATGGCAACTGAAGTAAATGGAAGCTATGTTTTGAACATATAAATGGTTATAAAATGCAGAGTAATCTGAAAAGCCCATGAGGAATAAAGCACATGACGAAGTTAATCATTCTGTTTTCAGCACACGATTTGGATAGTGTGCAGTAAATAAAGCCTGGGGCCACACACTAAACAATGCAGATAAAGCAAAAAAATTGTATACTTGATCACTAAGAGAGGACCATCCATTCTGTGCATTGAATGAGGCATGGGCCTTGTGGAAAATATAGTATGTGATCTTGTAATTAAAGGCTATCATATTGCATAAGGGGGTGAAATTGAGATGGAAGACAACTTTAATTCTTTCATTTTCTAACTCGAGGGCTTGACTTTAAAACAACATTAAGTACTCCTGGGCTAAGTTCCCTGTACGCTGCGCGGCCATGCAGCAGCCTATTTAGCACCGTGCGGGTGCTAAGGGAACCCTCCTGGGGACCTGCCACGCCTGGGGGAGGGACACCCCTCTCCCCAACCTAGCCCAGCCCCCAACCTGCTGCGGCCGGGTGGCATGGACCCAGCCATGGCCGGGGCGCCCGGACCCAGGGGCGGCCT